CGGAAGTGGGAGAGTTGTCCTGGTGTCGGGGCTCAGCGCTGCAGGGGCTCTCCAGAGCCTCCAGTGGGAGTGGGGTGGCAGAGGAGCCGCTGGAGACTGGCTCTGAGCTCAGCAGCCTGTGCTGGAGGTGTGCGCAGACCCACAGCTTTTTTTTTTGTGGGAAAACTCCTCTTAAAGCTCTCCTGTGGATTTATCTGTCCTACCTACTCCCAAATCGAGACTCACTATTCCCTTTCCCCTCCAGTCCCCCCCAGGAAAGGTGGGCGCTGCGGTTGGCTGCCATCGATGCTGGGTACCACCACTTTGACTGTGCCTACGTGTACCAGAACGAGAGCGAAGTTGGCGATGGAATCCAGCAGAAAATCAAGGAAGGCGTTGTGAAACGAGAGGACCTCTTTGTCGTCAGTAAGGTACGGATCTGATGGGTTTGGATCGTGGACAGACTGGCTTTATCTGCGATATTTTTACAGTCGGAAGCTAGTTTTCCACTGTAACACTGGAGACACTTGTAATGTAAATGAGATCACTCCTGATACTAATTTCTTGTTTCACTTCATTAGCACAGTGATAGAGTTTTTGATTATTTCCTGTCCACTGACATTAGTTTTTATAGTTCTAGCCATTGGATAGGAAGAGTGAGTTCCTTGAGCTTTGAGCAGGGAGCATAATCACTCTTATCCCAACTGTCTGGTGGCACCTTTCTTCCCCAGTCAATCTCATAACTCTGAAGGAAGTCAAGATTCTGATTTTTTTCCACTCCAAAATCTACTGAGAGCTTGAGCACCACAGCCCTGCTGTGGTCTGGCACTCTGCTGAGGAGACCCAGAAGTGCTGGGAGATGGATGAGGAGCAACCTGGCTCTGCACCCCATGCCTGCAGACTGGCTGATGCAGAAGAAGGGAAGCAGAAAAAGGCAGTGTGCCAGGTAGCACCAAGCAAGGTAGAAACCTGTGATGCAGAGGTCTGAGATCATTCATTTGGTGTAAAGGACTGATACAGAGGCAGAACCAGTTTGGTAACAGTGCCTCACAGACTGCTAAAGCCCAGCAGAGATGAGCCTGGCAGTGGCTGGTTCCCATGGAACAACTTGGAGTTTGTTCCAGCAGCCGAGCTCAAAGTCCTGCCAAAGAGGTGTCTGCTGTGTGAGGAAGGTGAGGTTCTGGGTGACCTGGGACAGTGTAATCTGCTCAACACCTGTCCCAAGGAAAGTGTGGTTGGTGGGGTTTTTTTCCCTTGCTTACGAAGGAAAACAGGATATTTAGCTGGATTCTGAAATTGTTTCTTACTTTGGTAGAGGCTGGTGCCAACAATTTTTTTGTGACTTTTTTGTGTTTTCTTGGCTTTGTCTGCTGCATTCAGTGGAGGAGTTTTGGGCATGGTCAGGAATGACAGGTACATGTCTTCATTTAAAAGCCACCTATTGCAAAGGCAGACCCTGTATAAAAGAGGGTAGCACAAATGATGTTGTAACTAATGGAACCAAAGGACTTTCTGTTATGATCCTGCTCAACTACATGGGCTGCCACTTCCCACGCTGCCTTCAGTGTTATGGGCAAGCCCCATCTGAAGAGCACTAGGGTGGCCTCATTCCACATCACCTTCTAAAGATGGTGGAATGTTTCTGTATTGTGTGGGAGAGCCCCTGCAGCTTTAACCCAGGAGGTCACAGCGTGCCTTGTTTGTTTTTTTGTTTTTTTTTTCTCTAGCTGTGGTGTACATTTCATGACAAATCTCTGGTGAAGGGAGCGTGCCAGAAGACTCTTGCTGACCTGAAACTGGATTACCTGGATCTCTACCTCGTGCACTGGCCTTTTGGTTTGAAGGTATAGTAATGACAATGCTCTTGGATTTGTTTCTGTTGACTATGGCTTTTGAGGAGCTATGTGGCTTTACAGCCCAACAATTTCTTGGGCTGATAAAGACAATCAAGTGCCTGTGTGTGTACCAGCACTGCTTTGGTGCTTAGCTTTACTCTGGCCGTGTGAGCCAGGCTGTTTTATCTCTGCCCCTGAGACTGCTGCTTGCGTACCCCTTTGATCCTGGGAATGATGGTCTGAAGTCTTGTGACAGGTCCCCCAGCTGCAAGATTGAGATCGGCTGCTCTCCTCTTCTCTTACAAATCAGTGTATGCTTATCTGAAAATTAACCCTTGCAGGAAAGAGCCGTACTTTCTGCCTGACAGAAGTTTTCCTTTGTGCGTTACAGAATCAGAGCAAGAGAAAAATATTTGTTTACCATTTTTCTCTTTAATCACCAAGTCATTAATACAGTCCAGATTGGGCTGACCTTGCCTGTAGGAGCCTTAGTGTTGTTCCACTGAGACAGAAATTCAAAAGGTGAAACTTCTTGTGAGCCTACACTCTTCCACAGATTAGTGAAGGAGTTGATGTCTGTTTGACTGTTTCTAGTCTTAGCTTTTCCTTCTGACTGCAGTCAGAAGTCTCCATCCTACCTGTTGCTTTTGAGATGCTCATCTTTATTTCATACTCTGTTTTAGCTTTAACAAAGCCATGAAAATCAAACTGTCTTATGATGACGGTAGCAAACAGCTGTGAAACACAGTTCAGCCTTGGTATCTTCTCAAAACTCGTACACAAAGGCTCTTCTAATTTCCTTAGTATCAGTGGCTTTACACTGAGCTTTGTAATGGAAGAACTGTCTCTGCACATAATACCTCTTTTCAGCAAACCTGGTGGTGTACAGACCAAAGCTACATGTTCCCAGTATCTAAGTCCCCTGATGCCTTTCTGGAAAAAGAATAAAATGGCTCTTCCTAAGTGAGCATGAAAGAACAATACAGGTATGACACTGGAGGCTATAGTTGGTGTTTAGGCGAGTCATCCCTTTGAGGGCTTCAGCAAAAAAAGCCCTGTCTTTATGGGAATGGTCACTGGCAAAAATGCTGTTAATTCCTCCTGCTCCTCAGGAAGGAGTGACTAAATGTAGAAAAGAATTTGTGTTCTTGCCTGCACAAGTAGTTTAAGCTGTCGTGGTTGTGAGCTCTCATGGTATTGAGGGAACTTCTTAACAGATTACTTTTTTTCAAGCATTTTCTTTGTCACTGACAGGCGGGAGAGGAGCTGTTTCCCACAGATGACAAAGGCATGTCCATACCCAGCAACACGGATCTTCTACATACATGGGAGGTAAGTTCAGCCATAGTGGGAGAATTCATGTTTTCTGTCCTCAGCAGTGGTGTTAGCTTCAGCAGTCACAGAATGGCTCATGCATGTATGCAGAATTAGCTGGAGAGAATTCACCAAAGTATGTGGGAGCTCTTAAAGATGTGCATGTTGAGTCAAGCTGTTATTCCTATTCACTGTGGATTAGCATCACAAGTCACTGAGCTGCACAACCACTTTCAGTGGAGCTGCAGACCAGACTGGGGTAAGAAAAAGTTCTTTACTTGACCATAACTTTATGATTTTTCTTCACCACAGTTCTCATGCGGTTCTTGAACTGCTCAAATAGATTTTTACAGAAATAGATACTTAGGTTGTGATCCTGCCATCCTCCTCGGGTGTAGCCCTCCAGTGCTGTCACAATAGCAGACTTAGAGTCGTCTTTTCCTTGTGTAACACAGTGAATTTCACAGTCTTAACAAATGATTTTGGGCTTTGGTGTGATAGAAGACATGTCACAGATATTACCAGTACCCACTTTTCCTCTTGAAAAGAGATTTTGATTTTGAGAATCAAAAACTTGGCAAGTCCAAACAGTTATTTTGAGCTTCCCATGAAGGGAAACAAGCCACATCAGGAAGAATGTATTCAGGTTGTGTCTTGTATACTGGATGCTGACTTTGCTCCTCTTTCTGTTAGGCCATGGAAGAGCTGGTGGATGCTGGTCTGGTAAAAGCCATTGGTATCTCCAACTTCAACCGTGAGCAGATTGAAAGAATCCTGAACAAGCCAGGACTGAAGCACAAACCTGCAAATAACCAGGTAAGCTGCTGAGTGACTGCAGGTGAATAGTTTTCAGGGATTATAAAGATCTGATTGCAGTTGGATGAGGATGTGGAAAAAGGGAGAACAAAGTAGATACAGCATGTACTCTAAATCCTGCTCTGTGGATGTTTCTTGGTACAAAAAGGACTGAGATATTTCCTTTTTGTCTCACCTTGTTAAACCACCATTTACAAATTCTGGAGTGTTTCCCTGTGAAGCATTCTTTCTGGAGGGATAAAGAATCCAGACATGAGCTGTCATTCTGACTGTCATCAGTGACGTTTTGCAAAACCTCTCAGAACAAAATCTAAGAAGTACATAGGGACTCAGTATAAAGGTTGATGCCCTGAAGAATTATAGTCTTCTATTATCACACAGACCACATAGGATTAAGGCAGCCTGTAATTAGGAAATTAAGATTTTTCAGGGAAAAAAAAAAAAAATCTCTAAAGCACGGGAACACTACAGTAGTTCTACAACTATCAGTCTCTACTCCTGTGTTGGCAGATCGAGTGTCATCCATACCTTTCCCAGGAAAAGCTTATCAACTATTGCCAATCCAAAGGGATCACTGTGACAGCATATTGTCCCCTTGGGCGCCCTGACAGGTAATTTCCAAGTGGATTAGTGTGGTTTAAGTTTGAAGCATTCAGAGCATTTAAATGAGGAAGGGTGCAGGTGTGTGTGCACACTGATACGTGTTTTTTGAGGGGAAGAAAAATTCATGCTAGTTAGAATCTTTCCACAGAGATTCCATGCCATTTCTTCCTTTTTGTCTCTGTTTAGGGCTAAGCCAGAGGATCTTTGCCTTCTGGATGACCCCAGGATCAAAGAGATTGCAGCCAAGCACAACAAAACCCCAGCACAGGTATGTAGGTGTCAGACAGTGGGTTCCCTTTCCTGTAACACAGACATAAAGGAAATTATTCCTGAAGAGAGAGTACAGCCTCTGTCAGTGTTCCCTGTGAACTGTGGTGCTTTTTTTGTGGTGTTAAGTAGCAATGTAGGTTGTCTACTATGTCGACAATACAGACAATATATACTTGCAGAAGCTCTTTGGCCCTCAGCTAGAAAAATTCTTGACTCATCTTCAGATGTCACTTCCCCTCTCAAGTCTTCTTGCAGAAAAGCAGCCTTGCATAGACTGCTGAGAGTCCAGCTGGGAAGAAAAGGAATTGACTGCCCTGAAACTGGATGGGAAAGGAGGCCTTCCATGTGGGCCTCCAGCACTCTCTTGTTGCTCTTCAGGAGGTGCTACCTGGGCCACAGGGACAGGAATGATTTGAAATGTGGATCTGCAGAAGTGGATATAGCTTAGGGCAAACAGCTGTTGGAACAGGCTCTGCTTCCTCCAGAACAGAAGGAATTACTCTGTTTTCTCTTCCTGCAGGTTCTCCTTCGCTTCCAGATCCAGAGAAATGTGATTGTCATTCCCAAGTCTGTCACACCAGAGCGCATTGTGGAGAACTTCAAGGTGAGTGATAGACCTGGGTGCTGCCCTTTCAGGAGGAGCAAGCAGTGATCCTTTCTCTCCTTTCCCAAGTTCTCCTCAGGCAAGAAGACTGGTCTTTTTTTTCCTCTATCTGGAAGCTAGGGCTACAATGAAAACTACAGTTGGATAAGAGATAGGCAGAGCTCTTGGAAACAATGTGCTGATAACCTTATCAGTCACCTTACCTGGTGACTCCTGTTCTGTGACTTGTGGATGAAGTGCTGGGCAGGGCTTGCTTGGAGCCGAGGTGCATTAACATTCCTCAAAATTTAGACTAAGCAATGTTATGGGAAGAGTCCTGGTGTCAATAAACCACATTCTTTCTCTGACTGTTAAGTCGGGGGAGTTTCCTGATATTGGACATCAGGATTTACAGGCTGAGAGAGTTGGGGCTGTTCAGTCTGGAGAAGAGAAGGCTCCAGGGTGATCTTATAGCAGCCTTCCAGTACTTAAAGGGGGCCTACAGGAAAGCTGGGGAAGGGCTTTTTACAAGGTAGTGGATACAAGGCGTAGTGATAGGACAAGGGGCAATGGCTTTAAACTGAAAGAGGGGAGATTTAGATTAGATGTAAGGAAGAAATTTTTCACTCAGAGGGTGGTGAGGCACTGGAACAGGTTGCCCTGAGAAGTTGTAGATGCCCCATCCCTGGCAGTGTTCAAGGCCAGGTTGGATGAGGCTTTGGGCAACCTGGTGTAGTGGAGGGTGTCCCTGCCCATGGCAGGGGGGTTGGAACTAAATGATCTTTGAGGTCCCTTCCAACCCAAACCATTCTATGATTTCAGAAGCAAAATAGCTGGATTTACTGAAAACCTTCCAGATGTTTCTTTGGAACTTGAGAGAAATGCATCTTCCACAAATAGAGGCTTTCTGCAACACTAAGTGCTCATCAAACACCTTGGAACAGCTGGCATATGTAACTGCAACCCACAGTCTCTTTTGTTGGTTTCTTCCCTCCGCCAGTAGAGTCTTGAAAGTCCAAAGAGACTTCCTTTCCTTTCTCTGTCTCATGAAGGCATCGTTTTTAACCAGCACCCTTTCTGATGTGAACTTGTTCTTTTATCTTGTGAATCTTGCTTCTGATTTGATTTGGTCAAAGAGGTGATTTCCAGCTGTTTTTCATGCTTAGGTGTTTGACTTTGAATTGACTAAAGAGGAGATGGCAACCCTTCTCAGCTTAAACAGAAACTGGAGGATCTGTGAAATGATCATGTAAGTGACAGCTTGTTTCCTTCAAACTCTTACATTTTCAATAGTCTTTATTCTGATCTCACAGGTGCTGGTGTAGCTGTTTAAATTGGGTGCATTTTGAAAATTGAAATCATTTGGGGGATGCAGCATCTGTTGTTTAACCTCTTAGTGGAGCTATATTTTTCACTTTACTGACTGAAGAATGAGTATGAGTCATGCTGTGTACTCGTTGTGAATGCTTTCTCCAGGAAATTTTGTGTGCCTGGAACTCCAAAGGGAGAGTTCTGGTTTATAACTTTGACTATGTCCATGTTGAAGAAATGAGCATTAGGCAGTTTTAAACTCTGGGTAATTTTTTTCTGTGAGTTACTATAAACTGATGTCAGCTCTTACATAGGTGGTTGAGGGAGGGAATGACCATCTGAAGTGCAGTGTGAAGAATGACTGCTTGCAGATGTGCACCTAGGAAGCCTATAGCCAGACAGGAAGCCTTGGGTGAAAGGCCACAGCAACTGCTGGGTTTTTTGTAAGCAATGTGACCTTTAACTCTTTATTTGAAAAGTAACTTGGTTCCACCACTCCTCAGTGGAATTTTTTGCTAATAGGAAAAGACTTGAACTTGTTGGTCATGTTGCCATTTCTACACTCATCAGTCTCTTAAATTCATTCTGCAGTTACACAATTCATAGCCTCCCTTGAAGGCTCCTTTATACACCCAGTGTAGTTCTACATAGCACTTATTTCAGTCTTGAGAGTAATCTTTTTCTCTTTGATTTCCTTCAGGTGCAAAAATCACAAGGAGTACCCTTTCAATGCAGAATACTGAAGACAATTTTATCCTGCCCTCCTGCAGGCCTCTGGGGTCTAAGTAGCTTCTACCATTGCCTACAGTTGTCCGCTCTGTAGCTTGGATGCTCTCTCTCCTGCCAGCACAGGCATGATATATGTATTCAGTGACTTTGGGCTCTTTGATGGAAGGGAATGGTAAAATTTTTCTAAAGAACAAAATATGGGCTATAATAATTCTCTACTCATTAGATAAGTGTGTCTGCATGGCTGAAATAGCCAAGGAGAAAACACAAAGAATGAACTACCAACTGATTATTTTTTTTTTTCATCTTCTGTCTTGCATCGACACTACTTAAGGCTGCAGGGTAAGGATACGTGAACACAGAAGAAAGATCCATCCTGGAAGAATGAACTACATAATCTCTGCCTGAAGATAAGAGACAATTAGCTTCACTTCTAGAGTGCAGCCCAAAGCTTTGTTGGAAAAAAGAATAAATGGGAGAAATGTCCAGACCTACAGATGTGTATCAACTCATACTGGGCCTTATTTCAGTTGCATTCCTTTACAGGCTTAAACTGGACAGAGATTAGTGTTCAATTTGAGTCTTATCCAAAATAAAAAATGTTTAGATTACTGCTGGTTTGAAAGTCTATTCTAATGTGAAAAATTTACAAACCAAGCCATTTGCATCAACGCTGTCACTGGAAACCACCATCCATATTCAGTTTTAAATGATGTCACAGGAGCAGCATAATCTTGTTTTGATCAAAAGTTGAATAAATTGGTATAATAAGCTTTGGTTGACAAAGCAGTACTGACAAGAACGGTCAAGTCTGACAAGTGTTGGTATGGACTGTGGATGAACAAGCAACACAAGACCAACACCTGGAACTGCTGGAAAGCTGTACAGTCCTATCCCTGTGGATGGATTTGGCTGGTTTCCTGTGCTGACATCTGACTATAAAAAACACGGAGTAACAGAGACTGGTGGAGCTAGGAGGTGTTGCAAAAGGTGGTGGACACAGGGCATCTGCAGTACAACTACTGCACTCTGGTCTAGAATGTCCACACCAGATCAAGCTGTAGGGTCTGACAAAAGTATATGAAGTTTGAGTTGTCTTGAGCAACTGTGTGGTCCAAAAACCTTCCTTGAGAATAAGATGATTAACAAAAAACTGCTTTCATAAAGGTTAATAGTATTAGGACCCAATGATGGCTGACTTAACTGCTTGTGCCATGCTTACTTCTTTTTTATTTAGTGTGCAACAAATGAATACACTTACACAAGCTGGAGCTGCTTGCATTGTACCTCATTAATTTGTAAGCATGAGTGCATGTATGAAAGATGTTTGACAGATGACAGAAAGGCTGAGAGGTAGAATGTCATCCAGAGGTAGAATGTGGCATCCAATGATAGGACAAGGGGAAATGAATATAAGCCGGAACATAGGAGGTTCAGCTTAAACATGAGGAAGAACTTCTTCCCAGTAAGGGTACCAGAACACTGGAACAGGCTGCCCAGAGAGGTTGTGGAGTCTCCTTCTCTGGAGATGTTCAAAACCCACCTGGACGTGTTCTTGTGTGATCTGATCTAGGTGGTCCTGCTCCAGCAGGGGGTTTGGACTAGATGATCCTTTGAGGTCCCTTCCAATCCCTAACATTCTGTGATTGACAGGAGCATCGAGATTTTACCTTGATAAGGAGCAAATAATGGATGTAATGAACCATGGCTGATCAGCCAGTGCAAACGACGATTGCATAAGCAGTCCTGATACATATGAGGTATGGATATGAAAATGACAGGAGAACAACACCTGGAAGGGCTGGAACACTATATGGTGATAGTGTGGGCTGATCTGGCTTGAGTTGAGTGTTTTATTTTTCCCCCTGAGGTGAGACCACACTGACTAACTGGAGTGGAAGATGAGGGACAGTCTCAGTTCCTTCTGTGCATGTGTAACATGCACATGAGGAACCCTGACAGGCTGTTCCTCAGCAGTGTCACATTCCCTGGTGCTCCCTTGCCCCATGACAAATACAAAAAGAACTTAGCCTTTTTATGTGATTAAAAAACCCAAAGGTTTTGTTTTCAAATGAGGTGTGAACGAAACTTGTGCTTTTGGCTTGAGTGTTATGGTTATGAGAGACAGGACAATGGACCTCAGATATATTACAGCTTTAGGGGTTATTAGTACTTATTCTCACTCGTTCCAATAGAAAGAAAACACAATGTGCAAATATTCTGCTCAGTACACTGGTGTAGTGAGATCACATAAGATAGTCTAAAATACGTATATATATATATACATACAAGTCCCTGGAATATACCTAATATGCTTTTCAGATGGAGGTAATACAAGTGTTTCCAATCCAAACTTCCAAAAGAATGTAACATGCAACCTTAAGATGAGGTGAAAAGTATGGAAGAGGTATTGGAGCACAAATCTTAGTGCTAAATATTACTTATCATAGACACAAACGAATCAGAATTTACAATTGCCCCTTTGGTTATTGGTGTGTTTGTGGATTCTTTGTGGGTTTTGGGTTTTTAAAAAAACACACATTTCCATAATTTAAACACTGCACTGAAAATACTTGTCTTTTACTCGGAGGTCACGTGCAGCAGTCTCTCGGGGGGAATTCATCTGACTTAACTTTAGGTGTCTGCCCGCCTCGAGGACTGATTTCCCTGGCAGCACCAACTGCTCCAAGCCCAGAGCACCCAGCCCAGGACAGGTGCTCAACCCCTTTTGGCCTCTGCCTCCAGCCCATCCTGGCCCCAGAGGGCACGGTGCAGAGAGACACGTCCCAGCAAGCCAGTGACAACAGAGCTGGACACCCGAGCTCCCCGAACACCCCTTCCTGCACAGACACCCACTCTGGAGCACACCTGGCAAAGGAGAGATGGGCGAGGGTAGGTCTCAAGGAACCAATCCCCAAAACTCCTTCTCACCTGACACCCAAACTGAAGCCATCAAAGCAATCAAGGTTCCTTTAACAACACTGGATGAGATAAGGAGGTGTTTGCTTTTGTGGCTGTGTCGCCTTTTTCCTTCCTCCTGCTGGGCAGGTGACCAAAGGCATAACCATAAAGTTGCACATTGGGTTTCATGGGAAAATATTCAAACCTTTTTTCAAGAAAATAGAAACCTCAGGACCTTCTTTCTAAAATTTCCACTTTCATGAACATGGAATCCAAGAACATTTGTTTTGCAGCTTCCTGAGGGAAGCAACCCTTTAAACCCTCAGCAATCCCCAGGGTGAGGTGAGACAGCTCTGCTAAGACCAAATACACATTTTTATTGAACAATAAAGGTAAAATGTTCGCTACGGTGCAGGGAGAGCCAAAGAGAACACTGCCGTTTCAGTGGTGTCCCTTCTCCAGCACAGGTCACCAGTGGCTGCAGTGCCTTCAAGGGTTTCCTTGCTCCAGCACGGCTCATGTACCAGCTCCTCAGAAATAATCCCTTTCAGCATGGACCTCCTTCAAAGACTGCACCCGTGTTTCCAACACGCTGTCTGAGTCAGGGCACCGTGAACTTAAACTCTGGCATGAGGTGGGGTGCTTACATTGGGTTTGGAGCTAGCTGGAGATGGTTCTGGCTGGCACTGAGCAGTTCATGGTCTCTACACAGGTCACCACTGCCATCCCCCGATACCCCCTGCGATTTATATCCTTTACATTCCACCCTTCACCTTATTGAAAGATGTATTAAGAATTGTCTCACCCTCTACCTTTAACATTATCACAATCTTAAGGTATATTCATTATAAACTCCATCTGCTGAGTGCCGCTGTGCCAGATATGCTGGAACTCCAATACGAACTGGAGTCAAAGGCAGCCAAGTGGTAGACCACAACTGACATTGCTAATGGGTTTTTCTCAATCCCTTTGGCACTGGAATGCAGGCCACAGTTTGCTCTCACTTGAAGGGGCATCCAGTACACCTGGAATCGACTGCCCCAGGGGTGGAAACACAGCCCCACCATCTGCCATGGGTTGATTCAAACTGCACTGGAACAGGGTGAGGCTCCGGAACATCTGCAGTACATCGATGACATTATCATGTCGGGTAACACAGCAGAAGAAGTTCTTGAGAAAGGGAAGAAGATAGTTCGGATCCTTCTGAAAGCTGGTTTTGCCATAAAACGCAGTAAAGTCAAGGGGCCTGCACAGGAGATCCAGTTCATAGGAATAAAATGGCAAGATGGGCGTCACCACGTTCCAGTGAAAGTGATCAACAAAATAGCAGCTATGTCTCCACCAACTAGTAAGAAAGAAACGCAAGCCTTCCTAGGTGTTGTGGGTTTTTGGAGGATGCACATTCCAAGTTACAGCCTAATCACGAGCCCGCTTTACCAAGTGACCCAGAAGAAGAACGATTTTTAATGACCTACCTGAGCAACAACAAGCCTTTGAACAAATTAAACAGGAGATTGTCCATGTGGTAGCCCTTGGGCCAGTCCGGGAAGGACAAGATGTAAAAAATGTTCTCTACACTACGGCCGGGGAGAATGGCCCTGCTTGGAGCCTCTGGCAGAAAGCACCAGGGGAGACTCGAGGTCAACCACTTGAATTTTGGAGTTGAGGATACAGAGGATCCAAAGCCCCCTACACTCCAACTGAAAAAGAGATACTGGCAGCATGTGAAGGAGAGATGGCGCGTAACAACAACCATTTTCAACATCGAAATAGAGACTTAACAATTTTAACATTTAATTAACATTGAAACAACAATTTAACAACTTTAACATCTCATTAACATTGACTGGTAACTACATTTGGTGGCTCTGACGCATCGGGAGCAGGCTGCGGTGATGGCCTTACATGCACAGCGACAACAACAGAAACGCTCCCGAGGAAATAACCACATAATTACAACAACAATGATTAAAAGTAATGCCACACAATAAATTGGAGAAACCACATGTACATATTCCATCGTGGACTGAAAGAACTCAACGGACACGTTAGAGGGATGGCCCATAAATTAAGGGGATTAATTGGAAGATGTATGTTCTGAGCATGATGCAGATGATATAGAATAAGGGGTAGATAATATTGGGTTGGGCTGAGAAAGTGTTAACTTTTTTTGCTGGGGGGAGGTGAAAGGGTTTTTTTTGCAGCTGCCCCGG